TCAAATTGAACTCGAATTAGTCAAATTGAACTTGAATTAGTCAAATTGAACTCGAATTAGTACAAAGCAAAACGAATTAGTACAATTGAACTCGAATTAGTCAAATTAAACTTGAATTAGTCAAATTGAACTCGAATTAGTACAATTGAACTCGAATTAGTCAAATTGAACTCGAATTAGTCAAATTTAACTCGAATTAGTACAATTGAACTCGAATTAGTCAAATTGAACTCGAATTAATATATTTTATATACTATATGTTATATTATATATGTTATAAACCCTAAACCCTAAACCCTAAACCCTAAACACTAAACACTAAAAGTTAAATACTATATACTATATGTTATATACTATATACTATATATCTTATACTATATGTTATATATTATAACATATAGTATATATTATATACTATATAATGTACTATATGTTATATATCATATTACTTTATATTATATAGTATATACAAGTATATGCTACGTTTGTAAGGAAATATATATACTTACTACATATAATATATTTCTAAATAAGACGTATTCACAGAACACGGTTTACGTTTATAATTATATGTAAAACGTATTTTTCGAATACAGCTTATAAATAATTTAAGTAAACCGTATTTGAAGAATACGTTTTATGTTAAATTTAAATAAAAAAAATCTTCTTCTTCCTCCTTACGCGAGAACAGAGAGTACCGTCTACCTGTGAAAGAAAGAAGAGAGCGAGCGAGAGAGAGAGAGTACCGTACCGAGGATAAACCACCTCCGCCGCACCGTTGCGCCGCACCGCCGTCTACAAGGTAAATATTTCTTCTAAATTGAAAATATGGTAAATGAATACATGAGAAATTTAGGGTTTGGAATTAGGTTTTGAATTCGAAATTCGGTTTGAATTAGGGGTAGGCTTTTGAATTCGAGATTAGGTCTTGTAATTATGTCTTGTATGCCTGAGATATGGTCTTGTATGTCTTGATTTAGGGTTGTTGACCGCTTAATTCGAGATTAGTTGTAGTCTCAGTCCATTTTTCTTTTCAGTGTTACTTTGTCTCTGTGTAAAAAAAATGATACTCTGCTCGAGCTCGAGCTGTGCAAAAGCCTCTGTCTTTTAACTAGTTGAGCCAAGCCTCGTCTTATAATGTCGAGCTCGAGCAACTGTGCAAAAAAAATTGAGACTCTGCTCGATTGCATCCTCTTGTCTCTGTAGAAGCATGTTTCAACTGAGTGATTTGGTTCAACTGTGATTGCAGCCTCTTGTCTCTGTGAGTTGATATGGTATTATAATGTAGAAGCATGTTTCAACTGAGTGATATGGTCCATTAATTTCATTTCTTATTGGAATTCATTGTGCATATATTTTTTTTGTAATTGTAGATAATGGCTTCATCATCGTCGTCCCAGCCTCAGAGATACGGTGTACACCCTGGACCGAGGGATCCCAAATTTCTATATCTTCATTACAAACATCGGGCATGGGCGGTTTATAATAATCAACCGGGAGCTCGTAGCAACACGGTTTCAAACCGCCGCTACGACTTACAGTTCTGGAAGGCTTTGCCAAAGCAGCATTCGTCGGTTTGGGCGGTGATCGATCGGACCGGTTTCGGGCCCTTGTTTCGAATGGGCCGAGTCCAAACCGACAATGCCGTCATTACCGGTCTGCTCGAAAGGTGGCGTCCGGAAACGCACACCTTTTATTTCGATTTCGGGGAGGCGACCATAACTCTGCAGGATGTACAAGTCCTTTTCGGTCTACCGGCCGATGGAGCTGCTTGTTTAGGAGTGACGGTAGACCTAACACCGGTACAATGGCGTGATAGGTGCAAGAACTTGTTAGGGTTTCGGCCCGATGTCCAGGTATGTAAATAATTTTTTTTTTCATATGGTCAATAAATTGCTGGGTAGAATATTTTTATAACAAAAACATGCACACTACTAAAAGTTAAATCTCTTTTATCAATGCTGTGTGCATTTTTTTTTCATTTCTGCATATTTATATTTATTAAATAAAGTGTGTATTATATGGTTACTACGGGCCAAAAAAAAAACATACCATTAACAACATGCCATTTTAACATCGTGGAATTTATCAAACAACTCTGCACGAACTTACATAACTGTATTTAGTGGCTAACAGTAATTGTTGAAAGTAAATAAAATGGTGATTAT